CTTTCCACATTCACGGTCGAAGTCAGTCAGCATTTGTGCCGCTTGGCTGATGTTTGGTGTTATTAGGATGATGTCATCAGCAAAGCGGAGGTGGTGTAGTTGCCGACCATCTATCTTCACTCCCATGCTTTCCCATTCCAGTCGTCGCATGATGTTCTCGAGGGTGGCACTGAAGAGTTTTGGTGAAATGGTATCACCCTGCCGAACCCCTCTCTTGACATGGATGATTACTTCTTTGTAGAATGGTGAGATCCTGGTAGTGAATCCGTAATAGAGCTCACGAAGGATCCTGATGTACTGAGTTTGTACGCCCTGATTGGCTAGGGCTTCTATGACCGCTTCCGTCTCAACAGAATCAAAGGCCTTCTTTAAATCAATGAACGTTAGACAGAGCGGCATCTAGAACTCCTGAGAAACCTCAATGAGCTTAGTAATCGTGTGGATATGGTCGATGGTACTGAATCATTTTCGGAATCCGGCTTGTTCACATGGTTGTCCTTCATCTAGTGTTCTGCTAATCCTATTCAGGATGACTCTAGTGAACAGTTTGTAGATGACACAATAGGCAGATTGGGCGATAGTTGCCAATGTCGTGGATGTCTCCCTTCTTGTACAGTAGTACAGTCCTGCTGGTTTTCCATTGGGATGGACAATATATATGTAAAATTAAATTTTTTTTTTTGCTTTTTGGGTCCCACCCGGCAATGCACAGGGGTTACTACTGGCTCTGCACTCAGGTTTCACTCATGGTGGTGCTCGGGGGACCATATGGGATGCTGGGAATCGAACTCAGTTCAGCTGTGAGCAAGGAAAATGCCCTACCCTCTGTGCTATAGCTCCAGCCCCTGTAAAATTAATTTTTAAAGAATTGCAATATTAGTATCAGAAAATGTCAATTTCAGAGTAATGAAAATTACCATAGTCAAAACAAAACACTGCATAATGATTAAGGGATCAAAGCACCACAAAATTTAACAATCCCTAATGCATAGGCAACAGCAGAGCCTCAAAATAATTGAAGCAAAATTAATCGACTTAAAATAGAGGCATATAAATCCAATATTAACAGCTAGAGACTTTAGCACTCATTTTCAATACCTAAAAAAAAAACTAAAGAGGTATGCAGCAAGGACACAGATCTGAAAATAGTGAATCAGTGAGATATAACTGACATATACAGGGCACTCTATCCAGCAGAAAACAATTTAGAGGTACCAATAAAATATCATTCAGAAAGACCTGACCCACCAAAAAAATCTGACACAGACATGAAATCATACAGTGCAAATTCTTCAACCATAATAAAATCAACATATTAATCAGTATAAAAAGAAAAGAAAAAATATCTAAACGGAACTACATGTTGCAACTGAAACAACACATATTTGAATAATCTGTGGGTTAAAGAGAAATTCACAAAGAAAAAAATTTAAGTACATAGAACTGAATGTAAGAAAAAATATAACCTATTAGATTATGTGGTATACATAGTTAACCCATAAATGATTACATTAGAAGTGAGAAAATGTCTCAAATAATGTAAATTCCTACCGCAAGAAACTAGGAAATAAAGCAAAATTAATCCAATGGAATCATAAGGAAAGAAATAATAAAAATAGATGCTTATTGAACTGAATATTAAAATAAGAAACAAGGATTGAAATAAAGGTTACATAATTAGGAAAGGTGAGTAAAATTGATCATAGTAAAGCATATACCACTACTATCAAAACAAAACAGAACTCCTGCTATTTAAAGTATAACAAGGAAATTTTAAAAAGTAGCTTTTTAAACTTACACATTCAGCAAGTCAGAAGAAATAGACCAGTTCCTTAAAACCCACAAAAAACTAAAACTCACAGAAGATGAGAAAACTAGTCCTAAAAGTACTAAAGAATTTAATCTGTGCCTAAAAATTTCTGACGGAAGAAATATCCAGATCCAGAGTTTTAACAGTAGAATTCCGTCAAATGTTTAATGAATTAATACCAACTTTACATGATTTCTTTTACATCGCAGAAAAGAAAGGAATACTTTCTAACCATTTTTGAGGCAGATATTATCTGGATATGGAAACCAAAGAGAAAAAAGTAAACACACTGTTATAGACTCATTTTTTCTGGAACTTAGACAAAATTTATAAAGCAAAATTGTACAGAATGACCAAATGTTAATTATCCCACATATGAAAGGTAAAGAGAATTTATCCTTGTCACTAAAAATAAAATTCATTCAAGGAAAAATTGATAATTAGATTATACCAATTAAAATTTGGGGGGTGGAGCGATAGTACAGTGGGTAGGGTGTTTGCCCTGCACATGGACGACCGGGATTCGATTTCCAGGATCCCATATGGTCCCCGGAACACCGCCAGGAGTAATTCCTGAATGCAGGGCCAGGAATAATCCCTGTGCATCGCTGTGTGTGACCCAAAAAGCAAAAAATAATTTTTTTGTGAACTACTCTATGAAAAAGATAAAAGACAAGTTCCAGAGTTAGAGAAAATATATAGGGATCACATACTTGAAAAAGGACTGGTATCTAGAATATCTGAAACTCCATAAATGTCATAGTTAAGTAGAAAATGGAATTTGTGGCAGATAAATATATGAAGAGATGTTTACCACCATTATAATCAGAGAAATGGAGAATAAAACCACAATGAAGGGGCTGGAGCAATAGCACAGCGGGTAGGGTGTTTGCCTTGCACGCGGCCGACCCAGGTTCGATTCCCAGCATCCCATATGGTCCCCTGAGCAACGCCAGGAGTATTCCTGAGTACAAAACCAGGAGTAATCCCTGAGCATCACCGGGTGTGACCCAAAAAGCAAAAAAAAAAAAAAACCCACAATGAGATACTACTTTTCATCTATTAGAAGAATAAAAATGAAACAGAGTGATAACACCAAATACTGGTGATAATGTGGACAAGTGAGATGCTCATCTTTGAGGTAGGTGTGAGGTCATACCTAGAAATGCTCTGGACTTACTACTGCCTGCGCGTGGGTGACCATATGCATTTCTAAGGACTGAATGAGGGTCAGCCACATGCAAGACAAATACCTTAAACTTTGTACTATCTCTCTGGACAAATGGAATCTTTCTTACACTACTGTGGGGATTATAAAATGGCAGTCACTCTAGAAATGATTTGGTAGTTTCTTTCTAAAATTTTTATTAAAGAGCCATGATTTACAAAGTAGTTTCTTTAAAAATTAGCATGCAAATACCATATTACTATCCAGTAACTAGATTCCTGGACATTTATCCCAGTCAAAAATAGATAATGGACCAAACATGATGACCTCTCAGTGTCTGTATTGCAGAGCATAATGCCCAAAAGTAGAGAATATGGGGAATATTGTCTACCTTGGAGACAGGGGGAGGGTGGAGAAGGGGGGTATACTGGGGAGATTGGTAGTGTGGAATGTGCACTGGTGGAGGGATGGGTGTTTGATCATTGTGTGTTTTTAACCCAAACATGAAAGCTTTTAACTTTCTCACTGTGATTCAATAAATTAAAAAAAAAAGAAATGAAACTAAGTTCTCAAAAATAAGCCTATACACAAATGCTCTTAGTATCTTTCCTAATAATAGGCAGAAACTAGAAAAAACTTACATGACATCAACAGGTGAACAGTTAAACTGTTGCACATGCATATGTCATGGAACACTATTCAGAAATAGAAAAAAACTATTGAGGAATATTATAAATTATTCTCAAAGAATTATGACTTATAAAAATAAGCAGTCCCCAAAGAAGATATACTTACTCTACTTGTATAACATTTATTTAAATGTCAAGATTAAAGAAATTAAAAACAGAATAATTGTTGCCTATGCTCAGAGAAAGGAGGGGAAGTGTGACCACAAAAGTGCAATAGAAAGGACATTCAAGATGGAACTCTTATGTATAGTGACTCTATCAATGTTAATATCCTGGGTGTAATACTGTATTATAGAAAAGCAAGATTTCATTATGAATTTTTGGCTTTTTTGGTCACACTCAGCGATGCTTAGGGTTTACTCCTGGCTCTGCACTCAGGAATTACTCCTGGCATTGCACGGGGAACCATTTGGGATGCTGGGACTTGAACCTGAGTCAGCTTCATGCAAGGTAAACACCTTACCTATTGTGCTATTACTCTGGCCCAAGGCTTAATTATTAAGAAAAACAATGTAAAGGTATTGTTTTTCTTAATAACCCTAAATGGATTTTTTGGTATTATATCTGTGAATCTACACTTAAAATAAAAAACAAAGTGGAACATGGCAAACTGTAAGAATACTGACTCTGAAATTTGATTGAATTTTAACCCTGGCTCAACTGTTACCAATTGTGCGGCAAGAGCAGGTTATATAATCTCTATGCGTTTCAGTTTTCTCATATACAAAAAATGGGAACAAAAAGAGCTTACCATTTAGGGTTACGAGAGGGCTGGTGATCCGTTGTTTGTAAAGCATTATCATATTGATAATCACACAGTAATTGTACAATAAATGCTAACTCTTAGTAATAATTGTATTAAATTGCTAATAAAAGCAGACTATTATTCAATTTTTTAATTATAACTCTTTCTCTAACTGCCCCTTCAATTCTAAAACATCTACATAACTTTCAAATACCATCCCAAAGCTACACAAGCATCACATACATTATTTTAAAATATGAAATGGGGCTGAGAGCTAAACTCTGATCTGGTTTTGATTTCTGGTGCCAGATAGTCCCCTGGGTATTACAAGTGCACGCTCTGAAAGCCCTGAATACTACTGGGTATGGTCTTGGAGGCCTCAAACACAGCCAAGGTAGCCTGGGTATCCACAGAACCTCAGGGACTGGGCAACATCAATTCTTCTGGTGCTTACATTAAACCACCTGCAAGTTGGCTTGGATAGGCAAGAGTCACCTATGCCCTCCCTCAACACTGCTTGGGAACCCCACTCTCCAAAAATATAAAGAATGAAAATTAAAATGAAACTTTTTAAATAAATGGGCTTACTTAACAGTCGAAGTATAAGGTACACAAAAATCATCTTGATCTATGCCATTAAAATCATTTGACTGCTCTGGTAGAGTCCAAGGAAAATCACTGGTAGTAGTGGTAGTTGTGTTGGTAGTGACAGTGCTGGCTGTGGTTGTTGATGTTGTGTCTGGAAAATAAAATTTATAGTCAATAAGAAATGAGAAATTATTTTCTTTAGTCATTGGTAAATCAGGGTAATATATATATATTCATATATACACACATAAACTTTTTTTTTGGTTTTGGAGTCACACTTGGCGGTGCTTACTGCAGCTCTACACTCAGCGATGATTCCTGGCTTTGCTCTGGGTTACCATATGGAGTGCCAGGAACTGTGGCTGGTAGAAGCTGGAAATGTTTTGAGATTTTTAAAAACCATTTTATTGAAGTTCTAGAGTTTACAATACTGTCAATCATACTTTTCATTCATATATCATTTCAACACCAGGCCCTTTACCACGAAGTCAACTTCCCTCTACCAGTGTTCCAAGATCCCATCTCATCCCACACCAACATAAGTTCAATAAACAAAATCTTCAGTTCTGGTTACGTTGACCATTGGTTGTTCTCCTACTATGTTTTTTTTATCCCACATATAATAAATATCCCTCCCTTATTTTGGGGGGGATGTGGTGACACCTACACAAATTAGATGAATACAGATAATATCCTGAAATTTCACAAAATTGTAAATCAGCAAAAGGTTAATAAAATAAATTTTTCTTCAAAATTGAGATCTTTTTAAAGGTGTATAAATTTAAATAATTAATGTTCTGTGTAATTCTGTGCTGATATATTTTAGAATTTACATGAAATAACTAAATCCTACAAATGTAAAATTTTGTAAGAGTGAAGAGAATTAAGAAAATTTAAAAGGAAATCTGAATAGGTCTATAAAAGCACAAATTATATTTTATCCTAAGAAAAGGAGTATTGGCTTTATATTCTAAGATATAGGTACTGCATAAGCATCTGCATAAGTGTGTAAAAAGTTGTAATAAAATCTCTATGGACTTAAAAACACTGATCAGACATAAACATTCCATATAAGTGAGATGATAATTTATTATTGAAATGTATAAAGTCTTTTAGCTAGTTAGGAGAAACTTTCTAATCTAGTAAAGGGCATCAATAAACACCATGAGTGAGTGCCATACTCAGTGCCATATATTGGGTCATTTGTCCTATTCTTTAAAGAAGCTCCTTTCATACTTCTTGCAAAATTGGGCTCAAGGGGATATGAATTCCCTAAGTTGTTGCCTGCCTATGAAGCTCTGTATTGTTCCTTCAAATCTGAATGATGTTCCAGCTGGATAGAGTATATTTTGTGAGGTGTTCATTTTGGTGAGTTTTCACAGTGTATCTCTCCATTCATTTCTGGCTCATCTCATTTGATACCCGTTGTGAATCTTATGGGGTTTCCTTTGTAAGTTCCTTTTTTGTTCTTACTGCTTTCAGTATTCTATTCTGGTTAGGTTGGTCCTAGAAGTCTGCAAGCCCCACCTCTGTCATATTAATGTGTCCACAAAAGATCTACTCAGAAAAATTCACACTAATCACAGTTATACTTCCTGTCACTGGATAAAAACAGGCAGAAAAGGAAAAGAGCAACTCCCAGCTTAATCTCTCAGAGTATCGTAGGAGATTACTACAAAAGGCTCAGACTCAGCACAGTAGAGTTAAAAAATGAATGGGGAAGGCCTTAGAAGACCAATTTCAATGATTGAAAACAATAACATTGAAGGCACAACCAAAACTAAACCAGCTCTGTAAATTCTCAGAAAAATGACTTCAGTGACACCATGTTAAGGATATTTAACGAGCTCAAAGAAACAATGGCACAAGTAGTCAGCAAAGCACAAAAAACATGAGAGCTGAATCAGAAAACTATAGGCATAACACAAATAAAGAGTATGGTAAGTGATATAAAAAACTCATTAACAGCTCTGAGAAGCAGAATAACAGCAGCTGAAGAAAGATTGAGAAGCTACTAGATGAGATGAGGAAAACTCTAGAATAGAAGATGGGGAAAAGTCTGAAAAGAAATGAATAGAAGTTCCTTCCACACAATGAGCTGCCTTCCCAGCTTCCTAGGACATGGGTTGCCAAGGGTCAGAAAACAAAGCCTTAAGGTTTTGCAAGGAGGTTTGGTCACATATTCTGTTTTGCTTTTTGCTTTTTTCTATGTGAAAACCAAACCAAACCATAAGGCTTCTTTTTTCTGGCCCCCTGGTCTAGACTACTGAAATTGTCTTCAAAAATTGTATTTCCTGGACATAGAGATGAATCTCGGACCTGAGCAACTTGCAGCAGGGATAGCCCTGGACTTTGCAAAAAGCCTTCTCTGCTGGGCTGCTCCAGATGGGGGTGGGTGTTGTCCCTCCGCCTGACCTCTAAGAGCTCCAGCAGGCGCCATTTTCTAGAAGCCAGTGAGAAACACCAGGTACAAATTTGCGGTGATGGCAAATTCCAAGTCTCAAGGGACAGGGGAGGAGTGGTTCGTCCTTTCCCCCCAACCCCAATGGGACATCGAGATGATGTCACATCCACCCACCATCTACTTAAGCTCCCACATGGCCACGATCCAGAGACACACAAACGAATCTTGGACCCTAGCAATGTGCTGCAGCAATTTCTTAAGACCTTAATTATTAAAATCTTAGAATTTCTCCTCGACGGATCCCAGGTGGTGGGAAATGGGCACTGGTAGAGGGATGGGTATTTGATCATTGTATAATTGAAACCCCTGGCGCCGTGTAATCCCATCAACGGCCAAGACTCAGAGACTATAAAAACCAGCTCCCGGAACCGCGCGGCTGCATTCGCGGCCACGGGACATCTTATTATGACATCTTATTATCTCATTCCTACTTTGGACAAACTGGCAGGCTACCAAATGTAGCCTGCCCACATGGCAGAGTCTGGCAAACTCCCCGTGGCGTAGCCAATATGCCAAATACCAGTAACAATGATGGGTCTCATTCTCCTAAAGAGCCTTGAATATAATCTCAGGGCTAGGATGAAGGAGACGTTACTGGGGCCTGCTCGAGGCAATCGACGAATAACAGGATGGTATTGATTTGTGAAATTGAAACCCAAGCACAGAAAATTGTAAGTCTACAACTGAACCTCATGGTGTCTCACTAAAAAAAAATTAAAAAAAAAGAATTTCTTGAGTGCAGGGCCGCGGGAGTGGCTGCACAACATTATATTATATCCATAACAAGCAATACAAAATACATTGTCTAGCATTGCATTTTCGGCAGGTATGAGGGATGGTAGAACTTGTCTTGAAATATCAACGGTAACTAAAGTAGAGAAAGAATATTTTGCAAATTGTCTACCATAAAGGCAAGGGGAGGCGTGGAATGTGGGGGGGGGGGGATCTGGGGATTTTTGTGGTGGAAGGGATGGGTGTTAAACTGTATGATCAAAGTTCAAACATGAGATTTTTGTTACCGTACCTCACGGTGAATAAAAAAAAAATTAAAAAAGAAAGGAATAGCATACCAAAGAACTATGGGAGAGCTCAAGAGGAACAATATAAAAATCAGTACCTGAGGACCAGGAAGGTGATAAAATGAATAATTAATAGTTAGAAAGAAATCATAATTAAGATTTTCCCAGACTTGAGAAATACAGGCAACCAAATACACACACACACAACAACAACAACAACAACAACAACAAAGGGTCTCAATTGGGAAAATACACTGTATTCAGAATGGCAAAAACCAAAGAGATAATATGGAAAGCAGCAAGATCAAGAAAGATCAACATTTTTTGGATCCCTGTAGTATCAAATATATTTGCAACTAATGTTTCTTCTAAAACAATATATTTGTTGTGAAATTTAATATATATGCATTTAAAATTTTTATATAAGACTTACTTCCCAATTAGCAATATTTTCATGTTAATGACTACACTAAATATATCCTGGTGATTGCTCAGTTTAACTGGATCACTCCTCTCTGTCCCTTCTTCCTGGTTCATAGCTGATTGGGACAACCAAGATTCAGCATCTGAAGGACAGAGAGTCATCTCAGATGTTACTGACAACCTGTGAGAGGAACTGGAACACAAAAGTCTAGCCAAACTGGATTAAAATGGGTCATAATATTATCCGCAAAAATTTTGAGCAATGAAAAGAATCAGACTGTATGTAGCAGTGTGGAACCAAACTCTAGCTAAAAATTTGAAAATATTTATAAAAGTATTAAAATAATAAACACAGAGATAACTAAAAATAATTAGAGCAATAACTTGAACTAACATTGAGAAACCATGAGTAAATTAAAATTAAGAAGCAGCCAAGGCTAATGTGCATAGTACAGTGTGTAAAGCATTTTGTCTTGCATGCTGTCAACCTGGGTTCAATCCCAGTCACTACATACAGTCCCTGAATCACAGCTAGGAGTGATCCTTGAGTGCAGAGGCAGGAGTAAGACTTGAGCACTGGTTGTGCCCCAAAAATTAAAAAGTAAAAAGAATAAGCAGGGTAGAGAAATAGTTTAGAGGTGAAGAAACATGCCTTGCATGATGCTAACCCCAGTCCAATCATTACACCACATTCACATGGTCCCTAAATACCACGGAGTGCATTCACGAAGCTCCACCACCATTGAGGTGATCCAGGTAATCCCTAGCATGTCAGGGCCCAAGCAGCACTGCAACCTCTGGCTCTCACTTTGAACTGTTAGCCAGGCTGAGAATCACTGAGAGACCCTGAAGGCCTCCCAAGGTCAACTTGAGAGGCCCTCACAATTAATCAATGTTTTAATTTTTTTTAAGTGAGTTAAAACACAAAGGCAAAAATTATTTGTAAAGTAAACCCATGAACTGATGGGAAGTGTTCAAAAAAAGAAAAAAATAGTCAGAAGAAGAATGGTCAGGTTTTGTTATCACAATACTAGATTCAGTAGTTCTCTAATGTTGTCTTAAGAACAACTCTTTTAAGTTCATTTTTTGTTGATGTTCAGTATAGTAAAGTTACCCATATTAGACTTCAATAAAATTCCAATTTCTTCCTGGACACTCACAATAGTTTCTTCATTCTTTGTGTTAGACTTTGTGAGGATGGAAGGAGTACTATATGAGGGAGACCATGTCAAATCACAAAGTATT